CCGGGAAGAGCGACGCCTTGCGGCGCTCGGAAGCGAGCGGGGCTGGGGAGGGGGCCGGGCTGGGCCGGGCCGGGCGGCTGGGAGCCGGCGGCGTGGTCGAGCAGGGCCGGGGAAAGGGTCGAAGGGCAGCGTCTCTCTCAGGCACAGGGGCCTCGTGAACCAAGCGGGGCCGTGGGAGAGCGCCGCAGGGAGCCGGCGTGCCCGTCTGGTCGGGGAGAGAGGAGGGCATTACCCTGGTGTGGCCTGAGCTGCCCAGGCAGGAGCGGGTGGGCAGCCCCAGGGGAGCTGCTGCTGCTGCTACTGCTGCTTCTCCCCTCCCCTCCCCTCCCCTGGCGCCAGCCATTGCGTACCCACACCTTCCCCAGCACTCGCTGTGCCAGCGCCCAGGGGCGTGCTGGGGCAGGCAAGCAGCCGAAGGCAGCCCTACAGTGCCGCGTGAACCAAAGCCAGGCCTGCCAAGGGGTGCGTGGTGCCACTCTGGGCTTGGGCTCAGCCCCTGCCCCGTGTGCAGAGGCTGTCTGAAATGTCCCAGAGGTGACTTGTAGGGACCTCTCCTGGAGAAGAGGTCAAAACAGTGGGGCTGCCCCCAGAAATCCCTGCTGCTGAAGGAAGCCAGCCATGGCGCTGCCACACGAGATGTGCTTGGATCCCATCCACAGGCCCTGGGCTGGGATGCTTCTGGAGCCAGAAAGAGGCTTTCTGCCAGCGCGAGCCCTGAAATTCAGAGTCAGCTCCAGCACCGGAGTTATCATGCCTCGGAGTTATCATGCCTCGTGGAATCCCTGATTTGGGTGTGTGCGTGCTGCCGCGGAGAGGGGAGAGACACCTAGAGAGAGGTGGTTTTCTAGGGGGAGAAGTGGAGGGTTCCGACCCTCGGGCTGGACGCTTCTCCCATTTCTCTCGGCCCCACTGCCAAGGCCCCGGGCTTCAGGAGACGTGGCAGGCCGGGGCCGGAGAGAGACCTCCTTCTTCCGTACCAGGCTGAGGCTGGGGAAGTTCTCTGCACAAGCCGTCCTAACTCCTGAACGGAGCACGTGTGAGGTCTGGGGAGCCCCGGCAAGGATCTGGGTGCGCTCGCTCCTGCGGGCTCCGTGGATCTCGGCAGCTGCAGGAAGGTTCTAAGGCAACTCTTGGTGCTGCTCCACAGGCGCCTTCCTCAAGCCCACCGCCCTCGAGTCCTCCTCCCTGCTCGCCTCTGGTGCCGGAGCACAGCCAGGGGCCTGCAAGGGAGGCAGCTTCTCTGTCGGCTCCTTCCACGGAGCTGGGTGTGGCTGAAGCAGCCCAACCAGTTCGGCAAGGTGAGAGAGGCAGGCTGGGAACCAGCAGGGCTGCCGATGTGGTAGCAGAAGCAGGCAGGGACAGGCCCTGCCAGGGCGGGCGGGCTGGAGCAGGAAGGCAGCGCGTGCACTCGAGGGCCAAGGCCTGGGCAAGGCCAGCGCTGCAAGCAGTGGAAGCCATCTGCGTCCTCCTCGCCTGCCTCTCTGTAGGGCTGGGATGGGCGGCAGGAGGCGGCTGTCACGGGTGGCATCCTGGATGAGAGCGGCTGCCCGATGGTGCCGGTTCGCCATGCCGGCTGCTGTGACCTGGCGTTTCCTGGAAAGGAAGTCTCCTTTCTGCTGTGGCACCGTTGCTTCACTCCCAGCTACTTTCCTGAAGCAGGCAAGGGCAGCCCAGCTAGGGCCTTGTTTTCAAGCTGAGGTCGGAGGAGGGGCAGGAGAAACCACGAGAAGAGTCAGATCCTCCAGACGACCCTTCATATATATAAACCCCCCCCCCCCCCACAGAGACAGACGTTATAAGCTTAGGTTTTTAAAACTAATAAATGTTGGTAGAAAAGCTTACTGAATAAATGTTTAATTGTAATTTTTAGTTCTGCATTTTACCAAGTTAATGATCTACTCAGTTCCCTGGGAGGAAATGTAAACGATCCTGTGGCCGATTGCCCATTCCCTCTGAGCAGCCTGGCAGCTGGGGCATCTCTGGAAGGGTCGGCCGGTCGTGATTGTTAATGGCTTTGGCGCTGTGCAGACCGTCCAAGTGCAGTAAAGAGGGCGGGCCCAGGACGGTTGGTCTCCGCTTGGCAGAAGGTATGGGGAGGCTGCAGCGGGTGATGTTGGCGAGGGGCTCCGTCTTGCAGGGGCTGAATCTTGAATCCTGAGTCTGGTGCTGTGGTTGTGTTCAAGAGCACCCTCAGCCATGGAGGCTCATGGGGTGACTTTGGCCACTCACTGTTTTATAGAATTGTTGTTATGGGAGACACCAGACACCGCTTTGAGCTCCTAAGGACAGCCAAGATATAAATCTAGTGGAGGAGGAGGAGGAGGAGGAGGAGGAGGAGGATGGTTTTGGCTTGCTTATGGCGTACTAGGCATGTTTACAACTAGCTAGCATCTCCAAAAATAAACAACCAATGGGGTAATTCTGATAGTTGATAAAAGTGAAGGGGGGGCGGCTAGCTGTAATTACCAAATCCAGTGGAAAGCAATTAATGAAATGCGTAGTCATGGTGTTGCTCTGCCAGGAGCTCATGTTAATTCTGGGTGCTCAGTTTGTGGAGGATCCAGGACCTGGTTCTTGAAGGATGTTAGGGAACATGGAGTGCTGAGAGAACAGCTCTGGGAATGAGGTAGGATTTCACTTCAAAGGAGGTCAAATAAAGAGCAGACGTTTCTTTGCCTTGTACAACAACAAGAAGAGGCAGTTACAGTTGAACTTGCAGGCAGAAGGGAAGGAAGTGGGGAGGAAGGCATTTTAGTTGCGTTCTTATCCCTCTCAAGGTTTTCCCAATTCGTTGCAATTTGGGGGCTCAGCTGGAGCATCCAGTGAAGCCAAGTGTGAAAGATTCAGGATGGTCCAAGCAGGAGATGGTGTCTTCCTACCACACATAGTCATCAACTTGGGTGACTCCAAGGGAAGGAGAGAAATTTAGGGAGGACGAGGCGCTCCAAGCTGCTCTTTGCTCCCATGGTCCCTTCTGCTCCTGCTTATTCCTGGGTAGGGTTAATGAGATGGAGGGAGTGTCTTAAATCATGTTGCTGTTGTGGCTAAAAATCCAAGATGTCACAACCCCAATATTAACTTTGGAAGGAGGTGTTCATCAACAGCAATTGTTTCCCTAACACATCAGCCTTTGTTGATACAGAATATTTTAGAATTTAGAACTTTATGTCCCTGTTTCTTTGTGCCATTTTTTCAGGAAGTCTGTCAGGCCTGTTTTTGATGTAGCACCAACTAAAGCAGTTGGTAGGAGAAATTGCTCAAGGTATTGTTGGCATATTTCAAACCACCCTCCAAGGGCCAGGACCTTTAGGCAAAGATGCAGCACCTCTAAAATTCAGCTCCCAGTGACTACTGTGCAGTTTTCTAGGGAACATTGCAGAAGTGGTTTTCCATGGGCGACTTCTGGGATCAGTTTTGACTTCCAGCTTAACCAAGAGCCCTGGGATTCCCAGGTTGTCACCCATCCAAATACTAACCAGGTCTGCCTCTGCTTTGCTTTCCAAAGCAGCCAAGTTTGGTTAAGTGTTGCCAAGCACCTAGAACCATCACTGGTTGCTCTCCTGTAAGACTGCCCATGAGGAAGCAAGGCTGCTTCTTATCCGTCCTCTCACAAGCCATCAGGAGAAAACATTTGCTTGTGAGATGGTTGGACACAGTACACTGGGCCTGTGTAGGACACCAGAGATTCACCTTTGAGAACGAGGTGCAAAGTGTGGCTTTCTGATGGGTGGCAGAACATGTAGACGTGCTGAACTGGTCCAGAAAGGTTGGTGCATGTGAGGGTGTGGCTCTTGGGTCTCTTAACTGCTACTCCACACTCCTTTTTGGCTAACCATGTGTCCATTTTTGCAGTGGCACATGCCAGTTTCTCACCAGTCATAGATCTTTACTTAGAACTTGATCAGGTAGAGAAGTGGAATTACTCCCCTCTGAAGAAGAGGAAGAGGAGGAGGAGGAGGAGGAGGAAGAAACAACAACAACAACAAATGGGTGAGCATTGCAAAACTGCGATGTCAGAGCAAGTTTCCTCCAAAACAGTTTTGCAGGAGAAAAAGTGCTGATAATACCTGAAATCTTCCTCCAGAGGTAAATTATTGGTACTCTGCTATAGATTAAAATTGTGGTGTGAGTAAGTATGTAAAAAGAACACAAGATAACAAGTATGCTACGAGGAAAGGAGAAGGACTGCTTATATATTTGACTTCTATCCCATCTTTCTACCCAGAAGGCACTCAGGATTGCTAATAATAAAGAACCAGTTGAGGCATGATAAAAAAATTGATGTGACAATTAATTCAAACTAAGAAGACCTGACTGAAGAGGAAGGTCTTGCCTCCTATCCTATCGGCAGAAAGAGAAGAGCTAAGCACATCTCCTGATTTGGGAGCAATGCAGGAGAAGGCCCTCTCCCACGTGCCCTGCCAATGAGGGCGTCTTGAAGAGAGTCTCCCCGCTGACCTTCATGTGGGTCAGGTTTCAGATGAGATGGGCAGTTGAGCCTTACGCTGTTGAAGGCTTCCAAGCTGAAAACCAACAACTCAAATTGTGCTTGGAATACAACTAGCAAACATTGTAGATCTTTCCATGCAGGAGTTATTGACCTGCAGGTAAGCAATGAGTTGATCAAGGTTACTGATGACGCTCAAATATTCAGGGTGATAAAAATCAAAAGAAACTGTGAAGAGCTCCAGAAGGATTTCTTTTTGCACTAGCTAAATGGTCAAGCAGTAGCAAACATAGTTCAGATTAAGTAAGTGTGAAATGATGCGCCCCTAACCACACCCATATGCTGATGGGGCCTGAGCTGCCTGTAGTGGACCACAAAGAAAATCATGGAGTCTTAAGTGGAGGGCTTGGTGAAGATGGTAACTTAATGTGTGACAGCTGTGGAAAAGACACATTCCGTGTGAGGGATCTTCTAAGAAAGTGACTGAAAATAAAATGCCAACAGTGTAATGCCCGTATACAGATTATGGTATCTTTGCATCAGGAATACTGTGCGCAGTTTTGATTACCACATTTGTAAAACCGTATACTAGTGCTGGAAAAATGGCAGAAAGGGAGTCCAAAAGTCCAAGAAGGAACTAGAATGTTTGGGACTCTCTAGCTTGGAAGAAAGGTGAGTTAAGGGGAACATGATTGAAGCACCGGTCTGGAGAAAGTGGGCAGAGAGATTTTGTCCTTCTCTCAAGATCCTAGGGTAGAGTTAGGAGGAGATTTAGGACATTCAGAAGAAGGCTCTTCTCTACACAACATAGGATTAACCTGTGGAATGAATGTCCACAAGACACCACGGCTGCTAACTGCAGCGGGGGTTGGGCAGCACTGATGTAGAACGTCCATTGGCCATCCTCACAATCACTGTAATAAACACCTCAGGGATGAAAAACGAAGCAAGGCTGTAGAGCCACATCCCAGCATAAAGGAAAAGCCAGGTCTTCTCCTGGTGTTGAAAGGCAGATCAGGCCAGCCTGGTTTCTACAGATCTGAAACTCTTGTGGGGGCAGGGGAAAGGGGGTGCTGTTTCAATACAGCCAAAAAATAAAAAAAACAACTTTCCCATGCTTTTTGGACTCCTCAGAAAATGTACAAACAGCTGATTGCCAACTCCAGTCAGCTGGAAAGGTAATGTGGAGGGGAGAGTCCTTGCCTGTACGATCTGGGCTTCTTCATTTATCATGGAGCTGAGTTTGGCAAAGGATACTAAGCACAGCTAAGTCATAATACGATAGGGAGGGCCATTGTGTCCAGCACAGGAGTTTACGTTGAGGCGTCCCAGACGGATGGCCGTCTAGCCTCTGCTGGAACACATCTGTCTCCCAGGTCATCGCTTCCTGGCGGGACGGCTCGTACGCTTAGGGAGCGCTGCCTTCCTGGGGCTTCATCCCGTTATTCCCCGTCCTGCCCTCTGGAGTGAGAGAGGTTGGGCCTTGAGCTCCTCTCAGGTGCTTTGGAGGAGCGTTGGATCGCCCTTCGGTCCACTTTTCTCAAGCCTCCGCCTTCCCAGCGCCTTCGCTTCCCCCTCCTGGGACTTGCCTCTGTCCCCAATCACTTTGGTTGTCCTGCTTGGAGCCTCTTCTGCCTTCTCTGGACCCCAGATCTGGGTGCAATGCCCAAAGGGGTGTGTGACTAAAGCAGGATAGTGGCTTCCTCTCTGATTTGGAAATTACATCGATGCTGCCTAAAATGGCATTTTCCTTTTCTGCGGCCTCCTTACGCTGCCGGCTTGTACTCAGTTTGCAATCAACTACTATTCTAAGATCGTTCTCACAAATTCCATTTCCAAACTTGGGATCTCTCCACCCCCAGCTAATTTTTGTTTTCTTTCACAATCATTTTTAATGTTACTTCTGTCTTCTAGAGTAGTAGGTATTGAAGCCAATTTTGTATCATTTGTAAATTTGGTAAGCATTCTTTAATACCTCTTTATACAAGTAATTAATAAAAATATTGAAAAATAGAGGAGCCAGGTCTGATCCTGATGGCACCAGATACTTCTCTCCAAATTGATGAGAAATTGGTGAATGCTCTTCAAGTATGATTTTTGAGCCAGCTATATATATCCCTC